AACAAACTTTCTCAACAGTTGCGCGCTGTCATCTTACAGGAAGACCCAACCCCATCTATGTTAAGAAAAACAAAGAAGATAGTCACTCTCCAAGACATTACTTCCATTCTTTCAGGACGCCTGGACCCGCATCTAATGTTGCCTGCTCCAGGCTTTTCGTTGAAGCCAAAACACACAAAGCGGGCTGGCCTTAACAGCCAGGCCTTTAGTCAATAAGAGCTCCCACTCCACCTACTTCCTTGAAAAAGTGCTTGCTAAGCTGCTAGGTAGGCTTCTTCCTTCCTCCTCCCAAGTCACAACCTCCTCTGTCATGGCTAAGGCAACATTATGCACCACGCTGGGTAGCTTGTCTCTGGATACCTACACCTTCTATAAAATGGATGTTGTTGTGTTATTTCCTTCGGTACTGCCCTACGAGGCAGTGAAGTTCGCCAATGCTTTACTCATCAAAGAGGGCTTCATGCGCAGCAGGTTTTAGAAGTTCGAGAAGCATTACTCTTCATTACAGAGCACAATTATTTCCGCTTCAATGGAAGGATTTACCTTCAAAAGCAGGGGGTGCCGATGGGCTCACCACTGTCAACTGTGTTAACAGAACTTGTCATGAGACATATTGAACACAGGGTCTTTAAATTCCCCCTCACCATGGCTCACCCTTAGTATATTTAAGGTATGTGGACAACGTTCTTTTGGCATGGTAAGATACGGAGGACTCCTTCCAGATCACAAAATAAGAACATCACCTATCAAATGTGTACTCCTCCATAAACTTCACCTGGAAAAAAGAAATTGGGAAAAATCACATTTTTTGGACCTGAACATCCATAAATCCCAGGAGGGTTTGGAGTTTTCCATCTACCACAAATTTGGCAATATGCCCCCATAATACCAGTCACGGCCCATCAGTCACAACAGTACATTAACGTGGCCATAGCTCCCTTACTCAGACAGGCATTCTTACTTCCTTTAACACAAACCTTTATATAAATAGAAATTTGCATAAAATAGCAAATCCTGTTATTAAGTATTTCCTATACTAGCATACTTGTGTTACTTTTTTTTTTAAATGTGTGATAACTAAACACTACATCAAAAATTAATTGCATGATATCAAAAATTATATAAAACTTTTTAAAAGTATTCAAAAACACTTCTTTTCTCACTAAATCTAATTTTTATTTTTTCTCTAAATTAGGTAGAAACTTTATGGCTTTTCTTTGGCTTATTAGAGCTACCTGCATCCCTATCCTTGCAGTTTGGAGTCATATTTGCAAAGTAATTAGCATAAATGAAACAAAGAGCAATACTAATATCACATGGATATCACTGGACCAGCAAGTGCTTCAGAAAAAGACTGACACAAGTTCAAGTGCTTAGAGCAAAACAAAAAAATAAGTCACAGTAATGCTTAACTTCAAGCATCTTAAAAAATGGCATGGATTTAGTGCACAGTTAAGATTTTTTAAAATAAATTTTCCATTTTTTCCTGGATTGCCAATAGAGTAAACCTAAACCCATGTATGACAAGCCACAAATAGCTGGGTCCTATGTATCCACAAGTTTCCAGAGAAAGTTCATGTATTTTCCAATAGTGTAGTGCCACTGTTGTGCTGCCATTAAGATACTGCAAAAATTACTGAACTGCAGAACTATAGAATTGAGAATATAATTGATTTTGAAACTACTAATAAAAATTCATTTTAACTTTGTTAGTAATTGTAAGGATTTTTATATTTTAAATTATAAAGAGAGTATTTTCAATTGTTTTTTTACACAAGTTTAAATTTTTTCTAATGTAAAGAAAAAAAAAGCATATTACATGCATCATGAGGAAATATCTTTTAAAACTGATAAAAATTTAATGTAAAATTAAGAGAACTTGAATCTTATTTTTTATTATTTTTTTGTCAATTTTAATTGGCAAAATTGGCTTCTATAATTTTTTATATATTCTACAGTTATTAACTATCAAAAAATATTTATATTGCCATTTAACTCAAAATAGTCTAAAATATTTACAGAATATCATAGAATTAAGTCTAATTCAAAGTTTTTGGATTTTTGCATAGTTTCTTCTACAAACTTTATTTTATAACTAGCTGCAAGGACCTGCTTCGCTGGGTTTTTATTTGTATGTAATATTTTTATTTGTAAGTAAGTTTTTTTTTATATATAAAAGACTGTTTTTCTAAGTAATCTAGAATCTAGCTGCAAGGACCAGCTTTGCTGGGCAAAAAGTAACGATAGTGAAGATTAAGATAATTACATTATAGCCAATCTTACCCATTTTCACAGAATGCAAGAATTAGGTCCCCCATTTCCAAACTAATTATAGAATTTTTACACGAGTCTAAAAATATGTTCGATTTCCCGCAAAAACCGCCTGTAAATATTGCATGCCGCTTTATATTAACACTTCCTTTGTTACTCAACACTTCCATTGTTACTCAACACTTCCATTGTTAACATTTCCATTCTTAACACTTCCACTGTTAACACTTCTATTGTTGACACTTCCATTGTTACACATCTTTGAAGTCAACCACTTTCAACCCCATATCTCCTACACCCGTATAGCACAGAATGCAAGAATTAAGTCCCCCGTTTCCAGACTAATTAGAGAATTTTTTACGTCCAGTCAAATGAACTATTTTCAATTTGATCAATTTTCTGGAACGTTTACAATCGTTCTATAATCAAACCAATTCGAATACAAATTTGAATTTGAATACAAATTTTGAATTTAAAAACGGCTCGAGCATTTTTAAAATCGAAATAGAAAATCTTTGAAGTCAACCACTTTAAGCCCCCATATCTCCTGCACCCTTATAGCTATCGAGACACAACCACCATAGTGCACAAATGGAGACTTGCGGCTACTACCACATACAAACACCATTCACGTGCGATGTGTAGTTTTGGCTGAAAAGTGAAATATAGGGACACACATGTCCATTTATATATATATATAGATTTATTTTCATCGAATAATACTATAAAATCATGCAATAACAACATGACAGAATGCCACTGTTGAAATATCCAGCTATATTTGAATATCTTATTAAAAGTAAAGCTTATGATTACCAAATGCTTAATTATAGTAGTCTTAACTCATAATTATTTTTCAAGTGGTAAAGCAGGTGAAATTTTAATTAATAAATTGTCACAAAATACTGTGTCCTTAAGACAAATGTAGAGCCATTACAAACCCTATCTACAAATAATCATTCTATATGGACTTGTGCATTGTATGATGGCAAAGTTATTTATCTAGCTGGATATACAATACATGCATAACTAGTTACCCATTCTGTTCTTAAATTTTCATCATGTGAAAATGAATGTAACTGGAATGGTTGAATACATAGACAATCTTGATGCATCATGTTTTTGTGTACATTACATACAGCTTCAAACCACTTACAAAGAACATTCTGGCCATTATGGCAGCCAACCATTGCACAATATATACCTGAACTGGTTTTATAAGGCACGTCACCAATGAAAAACTAAAAACTGCAGACCTACACTAACAACTAGCAGTATCTTAATGGCTGCCAAGACATATACTCTCATGTGGCAGAATTCAAAAACACATTCTGGAAACTTGTGGATATGTAGAAAATAAAAATTATAAATCAATTAGTATATATTGTATAAATGTTTAATATTAATGAATAAAGATAATATATAAATTAGTTATATACAAAACATAGCACATTAAATGCCATGTTATGTAAATATGCAACACACCCAGCAATTCACTCAAGCTGTGTGTTGCATTTCTACAACACATACTATACATTGAAATCTGAGTTGTGTTACTTTGGAGCAAAATGCTAGTTAAAGGAAATAGTTAAAGCATGGCCTGTGGAAATAGAAATTGCACTTGGCCCAGTAAATTTTTTATAATAGAATATTATATTAATAGGAATTTAATTTTTTCTCCCATAAAATATGAAAAATAAGCAAAATTTGCCTTTTCCAATATTTTCCTTGTACAATGAATGTGAATAAGTAAATATTGTAAAAATATAAAATACAAACAACAAATATTTAAGAAACAAATTTCATTTTCTCTCAGTAAAAAAAAAACTGTAGGTATATTATTTCAGTGATTATTCTGATTCTCTTGGATTTGTGTTGGTCCATTTATGCAATCTTGAATGTAATTTTGTCGAATTCAAAAGATGATAAGCATACAAAATGGCATAACATGATAAGAAAAAAATCATTCAGGTCATATGTTGCAATTCTGCAACATACCTAAAAATCGAGAAAAAAATGTTTTAAACAATGCAAATAAAATTATATTAAATAACCATCATATTTGTGCAATTTCGTTCAAAAGAAAAGAAAATAAAGGGGAACATAGCCCAGGATGATATTTTAAGACCCACTATTGTGGTGCTTAATGTGTTAAAAACAAATTAAATACATGAATAATCTTATTAAGCAAACTCTTACATGTTTTTGTTCTACACTAATGTAAAATTAGGTCATGTAAATCAAATTTTCTCTAGACTATCAACGAACTATATGACTTCAAATAGAAAAAAACACTAAAACAAACATTAACAATACATATCTGAAATATATTCATCAAAAATAGTAAATAAAAACATAACCAGAAATATCAGATTAAATATTTTTATGAATGTTTTTGTAAAATATTTTCCCATTATTAAATCTGCCTTGAGTTTATATTTAAAATATTATAATACAGTAGTAACATCACATGTTTATATTTTTAATAAGAAAGTTTATTATCTGAAAATTTGTAAATAAAAACCAAAATATAGCAAAATCTACACAAAACGGTTTTACACTCAGCCTGTTCAGAATATATAATATTTTATGAAAAAATGGTAAACTCAACTCATACAAAATACAAATTAAAATAATCAATGCACAAAATTTTAACTAAATATATAATTAATGACTAAAAATTCATAATCATAGAATATTTATTAGAATTGTAAATAAACTACTATTACTATTATTCCATGGTGCTTGGGCAATGGAGGTCCTTGATTGCCTCAGAACTGTAAATAAATATATTTTTTAAAAAAATCTGTAAAATTTTTACTTTTCAATTTAAAACACAATAACAAACTCTTCTTATTATAAATCATGATTAAAAATCATTGAAGATTAGACTCAGAAAAACTGCATAGAAAACTTTTGCTTGGCTAACACAAATCACAACGGTCAATAAAGACAATTTCAAAGCATAATGTAGTTATAAAGTTAATGCAGATGAAAACGTTTATTCTTAAATCAATTTTAACATAAAATTAATTAGTTTTTTATTAAATAACTTTCTATAAAATAATACAGCTTGAATTAAAATAAAACAAAACTTATTTTAACAAGAAAAAACTTATAGCCTTATTCAGATTATCATCAATATATATTAATAATAAATGTTTAATATGTTGTTATAAATGTTAAAAGAATAAATCTAATGTAGTTATTTATATGTATTATAATTAAAATATGTTAAGAAACTTCAGTTAAAGCAAGTGAACTGACATAAAGCATTATTAGAAAACTAACATTCATAAAAATCTTACAAATATTTCACATTTTTTAATATTGTTAAATAATAAATATTTTTTAAATTAATCAGTTTTATAATGCTTTATTAATTGAAAGATGTGACTTATGATTGAACATTTTCAATGAATAAACTTTTGATTCAATGATTATTATTTCACTTAAACAAACAAGTTAGAAATAACTATCAATGAGATGTAAACCATATAGTTACAAATTAGCTGATATTTATAACCAAAATGATTTTAATAACAGAAAATCAATTTCTTACAGAAAAAGAAAACTGCTATAATTTTCTGATAAAAGAAAATTTAAAGATAATTACTAATAATTTAAATGAGAACTATAAAATTCAATTGGTATTTAATAATGATTCATTGAGTCTCAAGCCAATGAATGTCAAAATGTTACCTATGAAAATACAACTCTTCCTTACTGTTCTACACAGGATGTTCATTTTAAAATGCAATGTTAACTTTGTTTCACTTTCTGTTAACTTAGTTTATATATATATATCTTAATAAAATAAGTATCATATTAAATGATTATAATATTATTGCAAAACTTTTCAGACTTCACTTGATCTTGCACAACTTGTGAACTTTCGGATCACAATCTCCAAACATCTTGACCAGTGTTCTCCCCAGAAATTTTTACAAACTGGGTGGAATAAAGAAGTAGCCAAGTAGACCAAAAACACATATTATACAATATTATAAAATTCTGTTATTTGTAAATACAACCTCTCTTTCTCTAGAAACAAAAGCATACATTTTATATGCTCTTTCCAAGAATTGTATATGTAATATACAATGAAGTAATGCAGATAGTCAACCAGATCAAAACATCATACTGAAGGAATATTGTAATCTTCATAAGGAATTAATTTTATTTTTATTCTTATTTATTTCATTTATTATTAATTCTCTTTAACCTTATTATAAAATAAAAGTGAGAATGATTACTTGGACAAGCAGCTCTTTGGAGTTATTTCTGTTTAGTTTTTTTGAAGCAATGTGAATCTGAGTGATAGTGAAACATGAATGCTGTATACAGTGCTTTTTGTTCATTACAGTTTTACATTTAACATTTAATAATTGTACCATGTCATTAATGAGCGTGGTAAATTGTTTGAACTTTGAAATATGTTTTAATGACTAGTTTTGGCCATTGTAAGTATAGGTGGTCATAAATCAGGAATCATATTATATACCTTTATGCACAATGATTTTATGATTCTTATCTTTTCTACAATCATTCTGACAGATAAATATTGATGAATCTTAAAACCTTTTTTAATATAGCTGCAGGTTCAATTTCCTAATAAATGATTAACATTTCATTTTGTTATGTCTGCCATATTTATCTATAGATATCACAACCATTCTCATTTTCTATTGGCTATCAACTTTTGTTGTGAACAAAAACAAAAAGTTAAAATATTTAATCTGATTTTCTGGATCTCTTCTATGCTACAGAGATGGAAAGTATTTCTGATTTTTATTTCGGCATCATTTCACACAGATGGAAATAAAATTTAAAATTTATAAAAATCATTATTTTGACATTTAAATTCACCAGATTAATTAGCTGGGCAGTCGGTAAAATCAGATGAACCAGTCAAAACCTGGGAAGAACACTGTCAACTATGATTTCATTGATGCAATAACTCAGTAAAATAGTATTTAAATTAAATAAATCAAAAATTAATCCATTTTTAACAATTTTAAGTATTTTTATTGTCATCATAACTATATAAAGCAATCTTAAAAAATTAATTATTAGTTCTCAGAATAAAACTATGATGCTATTGAAAGTGTTAAAATTAAATTACTTTCTACTTCATATTTATAAACTAATTTTTTCAGGCTTATTAATTCTAATCTTCATTGGTCAAATTTATTTCTACAGAATACCTCATAGGATGTATATTTTTCCTATAAAATTTTACTACTTCTGTATTAAATATTAAAAAAAGTAAAATTATATATACATTTAGAAATAAACATTCTGTATAAAATATCAGTTGTGGAATGTTTTTCTTCCTGAAATAATTTGAAGTATTGATATAAATTAGAAAAGCAAAACTTTTTAATTACCATTTTCCACTTCAAAATATGATTTTTTGTTTCCCTTTGCATTAGACGTTAACTTTTCTGTGATTTCCATTTGTCTTAAAACGTCCTCTTTTATTTCTTCAATATTTTTATACAATTCAGCCTCAAAGTCAAATGGATCTAATACTTCCATTAATTCTTGAAACTGCAACTTTGTAGAGTAGTAATAAACATCATCATCATTTTCACTGAAAATAAAAAATGCAAATTTAATTTTAAATTTTATATTTTTTTCAAGGAAAATTTATACATTATTGATGAATGTTTTAGAGCTATTCATGTATTTAAAGATTTGAACATGATTCTATAAGTGTCAAGATTTGGTGATAAAGATACTTTTTAGTTTTTTAATTAAATATTGATCTATATAAAAATATAAAAATTCACTTAAAACAGTTAATATATTCACAATTTATTGTTTGTAGCTTAGTTAAAAAGTTTTAAACCAAGATTTAATTTATCACACAACTTCATGATTTGATGGTGATTATGACTCAATTTCAGTATCTATTAAACATTGTTTAATACTCATTTACAAGCTATAATTAAGCAAGAAAGATGAAAATAAAATCTCATCTATTTAATAATGATTGTAAAAAAAATCAAATTATTATTATTATAGCTTCATAAGGTTCAGTATGATTTGATGAATGCTTCTCAAAAAGAAACAATTTTCTCACATTTTTAAACAATTGCTTTATAATCAATTTTAGTTTAAAATTATAACTTTTCATTTTTAATAGAATTTCATTAATCCACTGCATAAATAATGATATTATGACCATATCATCTTCCTTGAAAACATTTTAGGCACAATATAATTCTCAAAACATATTTCTCTATGGTCAAATTGTTACATTAGCACAGTACAATATCAGATAATGACTTATTGAAAAACTACCATACAGTATAATTAAATCTTTATCTTCGTTCATTCTTCTAACATGCACCTTTGTATATTTCTAATGTCATAGATTTATCCTTTTGCACTTCAACTGTTTTAATATGATATACATTTGCTTTCAAGATAATACAGAGTTTAGCATAGATGAAATTGCTTTATTTTTTAAAATAACTTAATTATGGAACAAACTGGTCCAAATACTTTTAAGCTAGAACATATTTTATTATGAAACTGGTTTAGAGTACAATTTTGATATTTAGCCTAATTTGATTCTATAATTATGTTTCCTCCTTTTTTTTCCTAATATCATAATTTCAATTCACTTAATGATAATTTTAAGGCTTACTTAATGACTAAGATAATGGGTGAAAAACCCATTATCTTATTCATTACCCTTAATCATTATCCTCATTGGTTTTCTTATTATACTTTTTTATCATTGTTTCATTCTAGTAGTAAAATCTTTATATTATTTGTTTTCTCAACATTTATCTCTAGCAATTATTTCTACTTTAAATAAAATTTGTTTTGTATCTTAGTGGAAATACTTTCATATCAGGCAAAAGAACCATACCTGTGATACGATATATGCTCAAAAACCAAAACCTAAAATATGATCCAACACCTGCTGAGATGCATATGAAGTTATAACAACATAAGAGTGAAAATAATTGATATTGATCTCTCCATAAAAGATAAACTTTTAAGACTTTAAAAATGGTAAATTTGAACCCAGAAAAATTTTGAATAATTTCTTTCTCCTTAACTACTCAACATAAAATAAAAATTCTTTTTGCATTTTGAAATAAACTGAACCACTTATTATAAATCACTTTGAGCTTATTAGTTCAGGCAAGTGCCTAAACTGATAAAGCAGACTGAAAACATTATTCAAAATAAACAAGGACTACAATTAGAGGAAATTCTGATCTCATTGACTTATATTAAAATAACATGTCAAAACTATTTTAAAATGTATAACTTAATAATTATAATTAATAACTTTCACAAAAACCTTCGTAACTCCAGTGATACTTGCTTTATATATTAGCGAACGTTTTCGACCCCATCCGGGTCTTCATCAGGCTATGTTTATGAGGAATTTGAATGCATATGGAACAGAACATTAAAACGAACTTTAAGCGATTCAAAATTTCAAAAAACAAACTTAAGAATAAACACGGAACGTTGCGCACACGCAACCACTCATTAGCAAAACGGCAAACACAACCAAAAATAGGAAACTCAACAAATCATTTACGGGGTGGTTACCCTCATAACAAAACTTCCACACGCCCGATATCCCGACTGCATCCCTGTAATTAATGCACATGCCGCGTAAACCTGCTTTATATATTTCAAGAGTCTCCATGGCTCTCAGTTGATCCGTATGTGTTTATTCTTAAGTTTGTTTTTTGAAATTTTGAATCGCTTAAAGTTTGTTTTAATGTTCTGTTCCATACGCATTCGAATTCCTCATAAACATAGCCTGATGAAGACCCGGATAGGGTCAAAAACGTTCGCTAATATATGAAGCAAGTATCACTGGAGTTACAAAGGTTTTTGTGAAAGTATATTTTCCTCTGGTGTTTAAGAAGAGTTTAGTTTTTTATATAATTAATAACTCTTCATTATTACTTAATAAGCAATTTATCCAGCATTCTCTGTCTGCTACCAACTTCAACAACAACTAGTGTAATAATAATTATCATCTGCACATCGAAATTTAACTAAATATCACGTACCTTAGAAAAAACCTTTAACCTATGCGAAGTAAAAATTTAATAGTACAAACGTTTTCAGACCCCTCCTGGGTCCATCTTCAGGCAAAAATCGTTTGAAGATTTACGAAGTACGAAAAATATTCGTTTAGAACGATTTTTAAAACCGAAAAGATAGAACGGAATCACGTGATCTATATCTGTGAACGTCATATCTTCTACGTCATATTCACAGATATTTAAATATTTTTTCATCGTTTTTAAAGATTTTATGAATAACTTTGTAGTTAAGCCCACAAAACATATCATTTAATTTTTAGATAACCCATTTACTTCCTTTCTTTTAGGATTACGACGGACTTAAATCTCCTGTTGTAATAGGGCCTGCCATGCCAAAGAAAGAGAGATCTCATCTCTGGAATTGATCGGTGATGTAGTGTTGTATGCCTTGCATAATTCTATCTGCTCCAACCATTTGAGATGGTCTAAATATGAGGTGGTGGTGACTAATTTAGCATTTGAAAAGTCCGCAGTTATTTCTGGATCAGACGCGTAAGTTGATAAGGAAGTGGTACATTTATTTTGCTGGATGTCACGCATATGTTCTTTCAATCTGATCCCAACAGCTCGTTTTGTTGAGCCTATGTAAATTAAGTCCTTCCCAAAACGATGGTCCCTAAGCGGCATTTTATATACCCCCGGCATTCTTTCTTCCTTAGATTTGTCTTTTCCATTACATAGAATACCAAATATGGTTGGGCATCTTCTGAAGGTTAGGGAGATACCCTTTTGCCGTGCGATTCTATTATGTAGTGATTTCAACAGTGGGTTGTAAGTAACTGACACCCTTGGTTTATCCTCCTTTTGGTTAGCATCTATTGAATTAATTCTTATAGAAGGAGACATCGTTTCTCCGAATCGTTGCGACATTTTTTGTATGATGTTATGGTATCCATGCTGTTTGGCCACTTCATATAGATATTCTATTTCCTGTTCTAATGCCTCTTGAGTAGAAGAGTGTGAGTGAGCCCTTTTAACTAGAGCCCTGAACGCCGCCATCTCGTATTGGACCGGGTCACATGAGTCCACCGGGATATAAGTTGGATTGTCTGATGGTTTGCGGTACACAGAGGTGTGTATGATCGGTCCTCCAAAGTCAATATTCAAATCCAGAAAATGCACCGATGAGTCACTGTGCTGTTCGACCTCCAGGGTGAGACCATACGGATTGTCGTTCATTTGATCCACGAATTGGATGATGTTCGGAGAGTCTCTCCAGAGAACAATGATGTCGTCAACGTATCGTTTGTAAATTATGATGTTTTGGAGGAAATTCGGAAGTATTTTTCTCTCTAATTCTCTGATTACTAGTTCACATAGATCCCCGAAGACAGAACTGCCCATGGGGACCTCTTTACCTTGCGTGTACGTAAGACCTCCGAATTGAAAGATCGAGCTGTAAGAAATCAAGTGGGACAACTCTAAAACTTGTTGGTGGAATTCTTCATTGCCTATGATTGTAAACAGTAAGTCCCTGATGCTGCAAAAACATGGAGGAATCTCGATCGAAGGATATAGTGATCGGAAATCCAGGATCGTAATAAAGCTGGGATGTTCAGTGTCCTTGAGGAGCTCTGCTAATTCAACTGCATTAGAAATCGTGTATCTGTACCTTTCTAAATGTGGCGCGATCATTTTGTGTAAAGAAACTTCTAACATGCGTGTAGGGGACTTGGCCTTGTCCACAATCGGTCTCAATTTCTGGTCTTGTTTGTGAATTTTTGCATATGCACCCGGGACGGGGATTAAACCCAGGCCAGTTCTTTTATTCCAGAAGATTCTAAAATTAATTTAATAATTTATTTATTTAATTTTAATTATTAATTTACTTAAGAGATGGTGCCTAACGCCTACCTCTAATGACAAATTACTTTATTCTAATCATTTAATTAGCCATATAATAGCCCGATATTTAGGCGATCATTTGGCAATTTAGTATATATACTATTCGGGCTTTGAGTTGTTGTTATTTATATATTAATATTACATTTTTTTTAATATCTATAAACAGATTTCTGTAATTATTAAAATTGTCTCGTTTGTTTAATTTAACAGTACAATGACTCCGAATGCATTAACGTTTTATAACCGATACGATACTCGAATTGTAAATAAATGCATCTGATTTAAATTAATTGAAGTTTTAAGTCCTCACCCATTTGAATATCGAAATTGGAACATTTAAAACAAATAAAGTATTTAATTTTGTTGTTTTTGCGCCAAGCAATTAATTAATGAATAATTTTGTCGATTCGTACCGTTTACAACATTTATCAAAGGAACGATATCTGTTTTTATCTAAACTTTTCCACGAACAAAGCTACCACTCGAATTGAAAAGCCCTCTAAACCCGCTATCGAGGGAGTCTAGAAAGTAGGTCAAATAACTTGTTTCTAATCACTGTCTACATTGTGGCAGGTGAGAAACGCCGTCTCTGCAATGAAATTTTTCTGAACAGCGGTCTATCCAATCTGTAAACCGCCGTCGGCCTCTAAACGTCTCTGCAATCGGCCCTGAAAGTTTAGTGAGTGGACACTCTTCTGCCAGGGAAAGTTTCTTAGTTCAGTCATCTAGCTTTAAGTGCCTAGTCACAAGCTTGCCCATATATCAAATGCATATCAGCATATTCCAAAAACATAAATTCAGACTTCAGACATTATTTAAAAAAAAAAAAAAAAAACATTTTCAATAAAAACAAATAACACAAATGCTTTCAACTTCAACTTAGTAAGTCAAAAGTTCCATATTATTCAAAGATATTCAAATATGGAAATTAGCATTAAAATTAGCATTACATTTAAATGTTTATAACATTCTATAATTGAAGATAATGTAAGAACACTTTCAAATATACGAATTTTGGCTAATTGTGGAACTTACCACCAGCCTGAAGCAGACATGTATTGTTACAAAAAAATAAAAAATAAAAATCCAAGTAACAAATTAATAAAATTGCAGATAATAAGTAATGGATATCAAACTCACATGCAATTATCAACAAATATTTATCATATATCAGATTGTGTTTTGCTAAACAGAAAGGGACATTACATTTTTTAAATAACTTAAAACTCAAAATAAACACTTCAAATAAAAAAATTGGCCCTAGAGTTTCAACTCAAAATTAACCACTCTACAACCCCTCAAATTTTTTACACACCTTTCTATTACACTCTGTATATAAACAAAAAATAATAATTTTCTAGAAGATTACAGTTCAGAATTTATAAAAACTTTACAGTTGCCTTTTCCTATCTTTGATGACTAATAATTTTTGTGAGAAATCAATAATTTTCACTCATATGCTACAAAATAACTATATATATAAATTAATGCAGAAATTTTTAATATTCTTTAAATGTAAAATTATATAATTATTAAATCTTTTACTTACACAAATATCCTTCTACATAAAAACCAATATTTACGTCCTTGACGATCAAGTCCTAAGCATTCTTGACGACTCAAAAGACCACTTTTCTCAATTTCTGTTATACAGTCCGTCACACCAGTAACCTAAAATTATTTTTCATAAATTTAATTTAATTTAAAGATTAAATCAAAATAAAATTGTTTCAGTTAAAATACAGCAAATTTAAAAATTAAATATTCTACTACACCACTAAACCAGCAAAAGAATCACTTACTTTGGAATGCAAACATTTTCATCCATTTTTAAAAGGACAACTTCAGGCTGTGTTCTAAATTGAAATCACATCTTTCTGAACAGAAGATAATTGACCATCACTGATTGACAAATCACTGACGGTCAACTATCCTCCAATCAGCAACATCAACAAAGAAATTAAGATCATTTCAAAAAGTGTGCAATTCCAATTTAAAACACTGCCTGAAGATGTCCTTTTAACATATGCTTTCCAAAGTGAAAAATTCTTTTGCTGGTTTATTGGTTTAGTGGTGTAGTAGAATATTTATTATTAATATTAACCAGTACAGCAGAACCTCGCTTAACAAGCATAACTTGTTCCAGAATCTTACTCATAATGTGAAACATCATTAAGCGAAACAGTTTTTCCCCGTATTAATTAATGTAAAATACAATAATGCATTCCATTCCAAAAAAAAAAAAAAATACTCAAATATTTTATATATAACATTTATTCAAAGAAAATTATACAATATACATTGTTAAAGATCATGAATCATAATCATCTTTTCTTTTAGCACAAAATGAGCCAACCTGGAATGCAAATTCAATTTGCAGGAAAAAAACAAAAAATAATTCACAGATAATATGTCTGATAAACACGCCAAACAATATGCCAAATTCTTGGGCTATGTAAAGGCTATAAATAAATATTAGAAATTAATTAATTTGCCTAGAGGTAGGGAATTATGCTGCCATCTTGTATTAAATTTAATAATTATAAATAATTAATTTTTGATTTAGNATTTCTTAGGAGGGACATAAAAATTAAAAATTTAATTTGGAAATGTACATTAAATATATGAGATGGCAGCACAACTGCCTACCTCTAGTCAAATTAATTAATTTCTAATATTTAATTATAGCTTTACATAGCTCAAGAATTTGGCATATCGCTTGGCATGTTTATTATATAATGGGCAATGGTTGTTGTGGTTATATGTAATATGTGTGAACACACAAGTTTGGAAAAATGTTTGATCATAAGTGACACTAAGATGCTAGCGGAACGAGTGCTAAACACAGACTTATGGAGTATGCAAACATTTTTATGAATATCTTTAAGTTTTCAGTGGAACCCTCCCACGCGATTAAAATGCCATCAACATAACGTAAGTATAAGGTGGGGTATTGGATGGTTAAAGTTGATAGATGCATACACTGAAGCCAACATTTTTACGTTGGCTTCAGTGTATGCATCCATCAACTTTACGCTAGAAGAAGAGTCCAATACCAGAATTTCATTCCTTGATCTAGAGAAACATAAATCTCCTGCTCTTCAATTTTCTGTTTATCACAAAAACAATAGTATACCACAGATTATTCCTGCTATGGCCTTTTAACAATACACTATCTAAACTTGGCCATCACTTCCCTTATGAGAAGAGCATTCCTTCTTCCTTCTAGCAAAGTATTTGTAGAACAGGAAATGCAACTTATCAAAAAAGCAATGATAAAAGCAGGCTATTCCCAAGCAAAGTTTTATTATCTTCGGAATCGAGTTAAAAATAAATTATATCCTCAATCGTTTCTTACCAACAAAAAGGACCTAAGGATAGCACACCCCCATTACCATTTCTGGGTCCTGTATCACTCAAAATTGTACACTTGTTTAGAAAAAATGGCTACATGCTACCGCTATCCATGCAGCCAACATTAAGAAGATTACTAACTAATGACAGCGACCCCATCGATATGAAAGAGAAATCGGGAGTTTATCTTATTCCATTACAACATAATGGATCAGGAGAAGATACTTATTATATAAGAGTGACTGCTAGAACACTAACATCATACATCACAGAACATCAGGATAACATCCATAATAACCGGCCATCAACGGAATTAGCGAGAAAAGTCCTTGATCAAGACTACTGGCTGGTTTGGGACCAAACAAAACTAATGAAAGGATGCAATAATCATAAAGAACTCTTTTATTTGGAAAAACATATATTTCAATGCTTTCACCATGTAATACCACAACTCTGGAAATCTCTAAAACATAAACTACTTTATTTAAACGTTACAAATTAGATTGCTACATGGTCGCATAGCAACCATAGTTTACAAATTTCTATAATTTTCCGTTCCATTCCAAAACATTTTTGAACTGCAAGAAAATTTCTATTTGCATTGGGGTTCCATTTAGCTGCACTGCTTTTTCAAGAAGTGCTATAACTCTGATACAGAAAACTGTAGTATTCATTTCATCTGAAGATGGTAACTGTACGTTACCGAAAGTGCTCGTGAACATTTTATATTTATATTTTAATAATTCACTGTGGTAACGCCACAACACATAAGTGATTTTACAATAACGTGGATAATATCTGAATCATTTTATAAATCAATTTTTTTTAACAATTTTATAATAGAAACAGTACCAGCACTCAAACCATTAGGTCCAGGATGTCCAAGTGATGGCCTATGCATTTTAATAAAAAAAGGGCCTCTGCAAAACACTTCAAATCAAAAAAAAAACTGATAATTTCACATTACAGTCGACCCCCCTATAATTACAGTCCCTATAATTACGATTCCTATAAAACTGCGAAAAAATTGTGACGGTATCCGTAAAAAAAAAGGTAAAAAAACTCCTATAATTATGTAAAACGTCATCGGGCAGCCGAACTACTTTCCCGCCGTCGGTAGCGCCACACTACGGAGAGATTTCTATCGTCTGGACAGTATTATATAAATTATATATAAATTAGGTACTGTACATATAATTATATATTAATTATATATAAATTAGTACTGTATATATAAATATATATTAACTTAATTTATTGTAACTTTATTATAATTATATATTTTTTTTCCGCCACGTGGCGTTACGCTACGGAGATTTTATGCTAACTATTGTCTGTACAGTATGTAAATTAGCTACCGTAAGTCTAATACAGTACTGTAATTTTATACATTTCTTATTCAACGGCGATAAAAATTATTTATATTAATGATGTCTCTGAAGTTCAACGAAGTTTTCGCAGAAAAATAAGTTATCAGAAATCGGTCGCGGTTTGGTGTGCTGCTTCGCAACGAAGACAAGCTTTAGCAATGGCGATGTCGAATGGTGCACACTTGGTAAGTAATCCTACAATTTTTTGTTTATAGCGTAGTTTATACGGATTATTCCCAAAAAAATATATACGTATTTTGGAAATGTTGAGTCGGATTAGTCTAGAATTGATTAATTTTATGGAAGAAAACCTTTCAATCAGCCGTAGTCCATAAACTTGACACGTGTCGGACTGTGATTGGAAGGACTCGTAAGAAATCAGATTCCTAAAGAATGGAACATATCTATGATCTTATAGGGGGGGGTCGACTGTACTTCTAATTTCAATGAATAAACCCATACTAGGAAACAAACAATAATTTAATGATAGTAACAATCGCTTATATTCCTCCCAATTGCCTAGTAAAACTAAACAAAATCTTCAAAATAATAAGAATTATGGCAACATATCACTTCATACTCTCTCTTATTGGGCAACTTCAACTCCCGAATTGCCGAAATGATAGACTCCTTGTATACTGGCCCCAATACCTTAATTCAAAACAACTGTCAATCAAAATATAAATGCCAATAGACTGGGAGTAAACTTAATAGAAATAATAACTGACTATAAAATGTATATTCTAAATGGATGTATTAAGCCTGATTATCCTGCAGAATATACCTGTACGGAACATAATGGAAAATCCACTATTGATCTTACTATATGTTCAGAATTTCTGTTAAACTATTGTTTGGAATTTATTACAACAACCTTTGATGTATCTGATCACTTTCTTACAGTAACAAAACTTTTATTGTTTCTGCAAAAGAAACCAATCAATTTGTCCAACAGACATCAAAGGATAAACTAATATTTCAAGATACTCAACTAAATCAAAAACTGATTCATTAACATTCTAGAAATAACCGATTTCAACAGTGAAGAAATTTATAAACTTGTGTTTTATACATTTGCTACATTTGTTTTATACATTTTTATACATAAACTTTGTTATATACATTTTTAATTTGTATATAACAAATTAAAAATGATAAAAGAAATATTCAAAATAGATTCAAAAAATCTTGGTACAACTCCATTGTTACAAAATGAAAATGACAAAGCAAACTAACTTAAAACTATTCAGAAAAGATTCAAATGACTTAAATTTTACTGACTACAGGAAGGCTAAACAGACCTATAATAACCTACTCAATGTAAAAACAAAAAATATTTTGGAAATCTCGAATCAACCTTAATCAATAACAGCAAGGACAGTAAACTGTTTTGGTGTAAAATACGAAAATTTCACTTCAATATAAATCTAAGTGAAGCATCTTAATAATAAACTTGACACATGGAGAAATTTTTACCAGCAGTTTCCAAATATTTAATCAATTCCACCACTAATGTCTAGTACTGATCCCTACAATGAATATTTAGACTCTAAATTTACAATTAAAGAATTAGAAGATTCCATCAAAAAACTCGAAACAACTCAACCTCGGGCAGCAACTATATCTCAACCAAATTCTTGAAGATACTTCCTTACCAAGTAAGAATAAAATTATTGAATTTGTTTAACTCAATGTATAAAGCAATCTCATATCCAGACCCTTGGAACTCTGTCATACTTACCATAATATATAAAAAGGGTGACAAACTTTCTCCAAATAATTATAAAACTATAGCTTTACTTTCAACTCTAAGAAAATGTTTCACAACAATACTTACTACCAAATTTCAACAATGGACTAAAGTAATGGATTTAGAAGCCAAATTTCAGTATGTTTATATCAGAAAGAAAGGAACAGAATCTGCAATCTTTTTATTACTATTGCTAA